GGGATAGATAACAGTTGACATTTTGTGTAACTAATTATGGCAAAAACAGAAGCAAAAATAGAAGCAGACTCCCAAAATGGTACATTCCAAAGGAGTGGGCAAGGAAAAATGACACAACAATATTAGTTACATAAGTTCCTGGAAATCTAATCCTCTAAGCTACTAAGATACATAAAATGGCTGCCTTTAGGCTAATCTTCTCACAACACACCTTCTAAGAGGAAACCAGGGCTGTAGCTACCATGGGGCGAGTGAGGCACTCCCCCTCCTGTATGGACAGAGGACTCTGTGCCCTCAATCTCTTTTTCTACTTCAAAAGGGAAATGTCAGGGGTCTGTTTCACACACTCACGCTCATCCACACATATTATTAGACATGTGCAATGATTAAAATGTAGTTTTGGACAAAATGGACAGAAACTAAAAATGTTTTCATTGGTTTCGTCAAGCGGGGAGGCGGGGGGCTCAATTTTCTGTTCTTGCCTCGGGTGCAAAAGGAGCTAGCTACGGCTCTGGAGGAACCTATCTCCCTTGACTTCTACAATTACTACGGCTGCCCTACTTACATGGGATCGCCTACACAGGGTCCATGGCTGGCCATACACCTCGATTTTATTACCCTTAACGAATTCGGATTACTTCCCGCCAGGGAAATCCGATCCTTTATTTTTATCCTGGACAAACTCTGAATGCTTACGTCTGAGGGATGTTCTTCAGGGAACTTCTCTCTGATCTCTACAAACCTTGCGGAACCATTGGAGAACTCACACAATGGACTTTTGGAGACACCGACAGGTTCAACACTTTATTTCCTTACTCCATAGGCCTCTCCACTTACCAACACACTTTTTGCCTTTTCAGACATTGCTAGGGGCCTCAGTGCCTCCATGCCATTGTTTGTCTATAATCTATAAGATCCTAGGGAACTTGGATACTCCATCACCTCCGCAATATATAGGAAAGTGGGAGCAAGAACTACTATGACCTCTAACCCCTTCTCAATGTTCTAAGTTGTTGCGAATGCATTTCTCAGCTTCCTCTGCCAGTCACATGGTAGAAGTACATTTTAAACTTTTGGCTAGATGGTACATGGTTTGGCTCACAACTCATGCCATTTGCCCATCGACCACCTCACTGTGCTGACACTCCTGTGGCTCGACTGGCACCTTTACCCACTGTTGGTGGGATTGCCCACTGGTGCACAGGTATTGGGAGGATGTCACGTGACTTATAACCACTGTTAGTGGAATTCCTATGCCCTTGGACCCGTGGCTGTGCCTCTTTCATCTCAATCCTCTCTCGCTGAGGTCATACAAGAAGACCATAGTACCCTTCATGCTGAATGCTGCCAAAGCTCACCCCAACTGCCTTCCATTGCGGAATGGCTGGCTCGAGTGGATGGTCTGAGACTAATGGAGGAACTCCTTCATTCTGGCAGAGATGAATTTAGTGTTTACTACTGAACTTGGGCATGTTGGCTCCATTTCAAAACCTCTGATGAATATGTTGCTTTACTGTCCTTAGAACCCACTGTACCATCTGGCTGAGCAATTAAACTGTGCCCTATGTAATGCTATAATTTTTCACCTCTGATCTCCTAACCAATTGTTTTCATTTCTATATTGAAGCGCTGATTTGTTGTTACATACAGATGTTGACCTTCCGATTACTCCTGGCTGGGGTGAGCCCATACCCCATCTCTCCCTCCCCTCCTTTCCCTTTGTCTTCTTGCGTCCCTCCCTTGTTTGTTCACCTGTGTTTTTGTACTGTGTGATTTTCATGACATTGTATGGATGTACTATTGTTTGACACTGTTTCTTTGTTTACATGTTGAAAATATCAATAAACAGTGAATATGTATCTCTATCCATTTCCACTTGTACAATCCATCCAACCACCTCATGAAGCTATAACTAAAAGGATATGGGTGGAATTCTGAGGAATCTGCTACCTATGGGTTCTAACTAGGAACTATATGAATAAGCGCAAGTTTGCATGAAACGCGTTAAAGATGTTGCTCTGAGGTGTTACTGGATGCCGATCGATGGAATAAAGAACTCGCACTGAGTTTTGGAGTGCTGTGATTTCCCTGTCTTGAACACAATTGTACTGCTGATAACAAGCCAGGCTTGCACCCAGTTAGTAGAGGTATAGTGGGCCGACCTAGAGCAGCACTTAGCATTTCTTACCCACAGATTCTACCTGTTTGATTTGGTGGCATTTATAACAGGGTTAAAAGTTGCAGAGTATAACTATATTATGTATGGGACATATTTGTAATAAAATAAGAGAAATGATGAGCAATATAAATGTAGATGGGTCCAGAATCACTCTGTTTGATATGCAGAATAGATCAGTAACACAAGTCTGTTATTCCTGATATAAGTGGAGCAGGTGGGGCCTTGAGCCCCATCCACCGAAGTAAAGGTAAAACTGGAAGCAAAAGAAAAAAAAAAGACTAGAAGCTATAAGGGAAAGAAAAGAAGAAGAAAAGGAAGAAGAAAGGAGGGTGAAGTCTTTGCACTGAGGATTATGTGGAAGCATTATATTGAATGCATGGGTTCCGCATACATTTAAATTTGGTTTGTACATCATGCAATATACATCTCGTCATTGACCATGATTCAATTTATATTTAACTAGTTCCAGAGGGACTGAGGGCTTATGTCAGCACCTAGCCATAGCTATTCTAGCTGCTAGAAAAACAAGTGAAATAAGCCTTCTAGTCCCTTTAGGAAAATGAGGAAAGTTGCTACATAGCAAACAATCCTATGGGGACTTTTTGAGGTTGACCAGGATCAATGTTTTGATCGCTGAGTACACTCTTATCCAAAATCCCTGGGCATGACCACAAAATATGGAACACATTTTCCTCTTCGGGATATTCTGGAAAACATTTAGAAGATACCTGGGGTGCTCATTTAGTTACCCTAGTGAGAACTAGATACAACCTAGAGCCTGAGCTTGTATTTTGTAGTCAACAACCAGCTGCACTCCTTATCGGAATAGTAGTAAACCTGCCAAGCAGGTGGGTGCTTGTAGTGACCACGGACGGCCCCGTGAACAATGCAGATCTGGAAAGGATTGTCACCAGCGCACCAAAAGTTTTGAATCAAAAAGACCTTTATTGACAAATCGTCATCCAATACAAGCGCTTTCGGGGTCTCAGCAGTACCCCTTCATCAGGTTTAGAATGACACAGTAAAGCAAACCATCACCTTTAAATAGACATACCAGTGCATATTAAAAACAGACCACTCCCAACAGTTGCAGCTGGAATACCGTATTTTCCCGCCATTCTGCACTCAAATGAGGCTCACCTGTAATCCACTAATGTACACAGCGAGTTGTAATGATATGGCCGTTAGCTGGAAGTAACATCAGCTGGTTGCCTAGGGTACAGGACGCTGGCATGCACAGTGGACAAGTGGCGAACTGCAGTCATAAGCACAATCTGATAGTGCAGACAATGCAGGCAAAAGACATTCCCCATTAACAATCCACATTAGGATAAGATTATGCTGACATTGGTGGAACACATATAAGCCCACAGGCGTAAACATGTGAAGCATATTCATATAGGGACACATCATTTAACGTTGTATTGATATATAATCGCACAAAAGAATACATTTGAGCTAAAAGTTATTGTGTCAAGCACACAGGGGAATGTAAAACAGTAGAGAAGACCGTAAATCCTATATGTCCAACATTAAGGACAATAACATTATTGCATATACATTGATAACAATCTGGAAACATCCCTATTTGGTCCTCATGAAAAATTATGAGCATGCAGAAAAAAGGCAAACGCAACACGCACCAAGACCTTGAGGAGCAAGTAGTCGGACATGTGGGAGAGGGGGGTGTAGTTGTGGGGGGAGGGGGAGAGGGATGGGTAAGCAGTACGGTACACACAACATTGTTGTGTGTACCATCCGGGGGGACAGAGCAAACAGAAGGAAGTGAGATAAAAGGTCGCCCAGAGCTGCCTGTGCGTTTCAAGGCCCACTGAAGAACCACAATTTATAGATATAAATCCTATCGTTTCCATAAGTAAAGGAAGAGAAGGACGAACTAAAACAGTTACCCATAGCGTAGTCAGTAGAGAAATCCAATCAGGGTTTTACCTGTCATCCAAAAAGCACGTGAGTCCAGCGTATAGATCCAAAAGGCTTCTCTCCTGAGAAGTTGTTTTGCCCTGTCCCCACCCCTGGAATGCATATGAACATGTTCCACAACCATGCCTTGTATTGGATGGCGATTTGTCAATAAAGGACTTTTTGCTTCAAAACTTTTGGTGTGCTGGTGACAATCCTTTCCAGATCTGAGCTCGTACTGTCTCCACTGACGTTGTGTTGATAGAAAGTATAGAAAGATTCATAGCCATTTCTTGCCTATTTTGTATTTCATAACTTTTATTAAAGTGTGTGTCCCAAAGAGTCATATATGATAGCTTTTAGAATGTAGAATGTAATAAGTTATGAATGGTGGTATTGTGGCCTTTAATAGCATTTGGAATGGCATCCAGAAAAGGCCCAGTTTTGTATGAAGATAGTTTATATTGCATAAATCTAAAAAACTCTGAATGGGGTAGTTGGTATTGTCTTTGAAACGAAAAATCTACTTTTAGAAAACTAGAAAACTTAGTAAACTGTGTAACCAATCCCTTCATTACCAGCAAAAAAGTATTCATTGGTAAGAAAATAAAACTAACTTGGCTGCTTGAGTATGAATGCATGAAAATATGGTTGTGGTTGTCAAAAAGTGAATTCAACAGTTCTTAAGGACATAGGCTTTTTGATGTGGCATTGCAGTTCCATAGTTCTAATTTATTATGATTTTTATCTAATTTTCTTAACATTGATGCTTCTTTTACCTAGAATATAAGCAAGTGCCGATGTAAAGAAAACCTTTTAATCAGTAGTCCTGCTAATCTTGGAGATAAACAAAAAGTTGTGTGTAAATTCTAAGAGTGAAATTCATTTTTAACTATTTCAGGATCAACATTTGCCAAAGCGAAACCTGAAAGTCCTTGGACATCTCTTACTCGGAAAGGTCTTGTAAGAGTGATGTTATTTCCATTGTTCAGCAGATGGTGGATAAGAGTTACCAGCCCTGGAGTTTTCACTTGGCTGCTGGCACTCTACATCTTGCAAGGTAATGACCCCAGTACAGCTGTCCGGAGTCTAGCTGGCAGCACCAAAGTTTTTATATACTTTTTATCATGCATTAGCCATACTATCTCAATTTACACCTGTTCACATTGTAATGTGACTGTAGTATAAGTGGCACAAATGGCATATGTATGACAATACCCTTTAGGGTTCAAAATGAATGGGCTACCAATGCACCCTTAATGCATGGGAAAATAGGTACTGCAACATTTTAAGCACAGTTCAACCTACAAAGTATCTGTGTGTTGCAGTATATGTTAGGGCTTGAAAGTAAAAATTAGTCATGCAGTAGTTGCAGAGGTGGATTAGGGGAAAAATGGGTTCCAAGGTAAGATAGCAACTCTAACCCCCATATTACTTCAATTGACATTAATCAGCAAATAGAAACTGCCCCATTTGCATCATCTATACTGGTGGTATTTTCCATCACACACTAGATGCTTATAAGTGAATCTTGACTTGTGATGTGGCAGCCAGGTTCACAGCGTGGGCAAAATTGGGCTATCTACTTGGCTTATCTACAGGAGCATAAAGGTTTTATTTGAGTCCGCTGGCATTCAGTGAACCCTGTTACTGCTTAGGTTGCCTTGTAGATGATCAGGCTCTTAGTATGGACCCCCTCTCTCTAAACTTTTGTTGAATGGAGTAGTGCCGACAGTAGGGCCATATACAGTTCAAATTTTGCGCTTTTACTCAGCGGGACATTATATGATTAAAAATAATATATATTAATGAAAATAATAAAACATAATCTGTCTTCTAAAAAAACCATAAATGCCATATTTACTTTTCTTAAAATCTGGGCTTTCCATCAAGTACACCCTCTGGACAGTGCATGTGGACAGGATACCCTTAGAGTCTACATATGACTAACTTTGGTCATCTTAAAGCTAGACTCCAGGCAGGTATAAAATGATAGAGGGAGAGAGAGAGACTATGTACGTCTTAAATAACTCTCATGAAAAATTATGAGCATGCAGAAAAAAGGCAAACGCAACACGCACCAAGACCTTGAGGAGCAAGTTGTAAGTCTTAAATAACTGCAGCAGAGAAAAATTAGGTTTCATATCCTGTTAGATAGGGCTTTGGTGTGTGACATAATTCTCAGAGCTGGATGGACAGAAATACAAATCTTTTTGCAGGTAAAAACAGCTTTCTTCTTTGTATTAATTCGTTTGCCTGATGGGCAGAGACAGTGTTGATGGGGAGATCTTGCTGCTGGTGCTTCCAAGAGGCAAATGGGCCACTGAGCTTACCAACATGTATGTCTATATGAATTATAAGTATTGGATGGATTGACCCCCCAGTCCGGGATATGCCAGAAATGAATATATGCATTCCGTGAAGAAATCAGTGTAGGCATATATGTGTGCTAGTATTTCAATGGCTGAATAGTGGTCTAGACAATAAAGTCATACTAGTTCAAGAAGTGAAACAACAATACTAATGACAGCTCTGGATTTTCCACCATCAAAAACAAGTCAGAAATAGCAGCTTCCATATTTCTAAACTAGAAAATTCCCTTTGTTACGTTTATGCATTTCTCTTCACACTTCTGTAGCGTGCAGTTGTATTTGAACAGCCTGAGTTCAGCCTGCGTGCAATCACCTTTATTGACAAGTAGAGGTTTATGTATGTTTTACTCTCTCTGAACACGTTCTCGAGTATGTCGCCATTATAAATTTAATGGAATCTCTTCATAGGTACTAGAAATCTGCTTCGTATTGAAGCTATTTCCAGTTCATTGCACCTCTTCTGTTTTTTACAAGTATAACCTGGAGATTTGTATTAGGAAAAGTCTGCTAATGTGGCTGCTAATTTACGTCACAAAAACATAATGGCAAAGATTAAAAATAAGCCTTTTTTTCTGTAATACCTTTTCTTTGTAGTGTGCACAGAAGAGAGGAGAAAAGTTGCACGGGGCCTTCCTGTGCAAATGAAAATAAAAAGCAGTACGGGAAATAATGCTTCATATGTCTTTTGACCAAATTAGGTCATGTTCATGGAAACGGATTTTAGCTAATAATATTCACTTGTCTTTGATAAAATGATTGATGTGAAGGAACACAGAGCCATGTGAGTGCCTGCACAGGCCTAAACAAAACCTAAATCGGTTTAATAGATATTTTGATAAGAACAGTGGACTGAACAAACAAATTGCATGGTTCTGTCTATTACTTGTTTTGTTGCATGCCTGTTACTAAAGCTTACATGCCTTTGATAGTACAGTGTGTACAGGGGAAGGAAAATGGATCCACAAAGTGGAAGAAGGCAGAATAGAAAAGAGCAGACAGAGTAAAGGACACAAAAAGAACCAAAAAAAAAAAAAAACAGACAGAAGAGACAGAGTAAAGACTGGGTGTTCCAGAGGATGGGAGAGACTTTAGAGTCCTGGAGGTGAGAGTGGGAGGAACTACATTTTCTAAGGAACCCTGTGAGGGGTGACAAAAAATAGCAAGAAACAAAAACCTGTTGCTCTGCCTTGCCTCCCTAGACAAAATGAACGTTTTATGCATTTTAAAGTACACATATCTTTTACATGTACTTTACACCATATCCATAAAACTCATATGTTTCTGTTGCAATACATTGACAGGTATCATATTCACTTGTATACCAGCGTCTACTTTAAACTTGATTTACTTTATCTTCACTACAGTGAAAACGTCATCAGGCTGATCTTTTTTGATTGTGCCGCTAACCATTTCTATTGATAGGTCACTTGAATCATTTAAGGCTACATTCTTGGAGCAAGCTCTATAAGCTTTGTGATTGCTCTCTTTGATTACTGGTATTAGGTGTCCATTAGTTGGGTTGAGTAAGTTAAATTACTGAGTGCCAAAGGAGAATAATGATTATTCCTTCTTATAAAGTACCACAAAGCAAAAATGTAATACTTCTCTAAGGATTGTGTCGGCCCCTTTGTTTCTCTTAGATACTAACTCAATCTGACACCACACATTAACTGCATCTGTCTAAATTTGTAAAGAGAATACTACTGGATTTAGTGAGAAATACATAACCTGTACACACTGAAGTATATGTATCCTGTAGGTGTTTGCAGTTCACATGTTTGAAGTACATTTATATTAGCCCTGGACCCTGGAGGCAGACCACAGGTGATACTGTTGACTAGCCCTTTGCCTGGCTTTTTTGGACATAGCTTCGCTTCCAGAGTTCGGTTTCTCTTTAACCTAACACATCATGTGGTCTATTTATAAATAATCAGCAGGACTCTTCGTTCTGTGCAGATATGTGCCAAATCAAATGTTATTTAGTTGTTTCTTTACAGGCCAATGTATTTTTGATTTTTTTTAATGTAATACGACAATATGGCCACTAGATGGAAGAAAGGAGCTGCGGCAGTGCGTGGCAATGCCACGGAGTATATTGGTGACACAGTAACCCAAGACTCTCCGCTAGAGGGCCCGAGAGGTTCCAGAATGTGAATAGTTTTCACTGAAGAAGCTGACTTTTCAGATTCCTCAGGCTTTTAGGGATTGTAGCTGGGATCTGGAACACTGGCGATTTTCTAAGAATTCTGGGTGGGATGAAATCTCCAGTCCTGGGGCCTGGAGTTGCCGCTGATCAGATGGCTTAGAGCAGCCTGATTTGGAGTTCAAACCAGAGCTCAAGGGGAGAAGTTGGTGTGGTATGTGCTGGAGGCACACGAGGGCCAAACCAGGTGGTGTGCGGTGGAACCACACAAAGAACAGCCAGGGAAGCTGGAAGGTTTGGAGAGGCTGAGAGAGCCAGGCACACAAGGTGTGTGTGTTGAAATTAAACGACAACTGTGTGGAAAGTAGCTGCTTAAAAGGTACAAACTACTTCTAAGAAGTTTTGTTGAGATAATATATTCTAAAAGACAAGTGAGCTTTATGTTGTGTTGCTGAAGAAAACTATTTTTCTGTTACGGAAGTAATAAGATCTTATGTTAAAGGGGCTTCGAGACTGGTCATTAGACGCTCACCATTGTGCTAACTTCCCCAAAATATCACAGAGCATAGAAAATAAATACTTTTCCTGGCCTCCTTAGGTAAGCTGACCCATGGGTATGCTGAAAAGGACAGGCCAGGAAAGGAAAATTACAGTGAGTACTGTATATGATAATTTTCCGTATTCCTGGCCTCCTCATGTCAGCATACCCCAGAGTCATCTCAATGGGTATGGTGACATGGGGACAGGCCAGAAAAGGAAAATGTTCCATAATTTCCTGTGCTCCTTTATCACCACCTAGTGGTCATAATGTGACATACATAAAAACATTCAAAAATGAATTGCACTAAAGAAAAAAAAAGAACCTTCATTTTGGTATGTGTTTGCGGTGAACGACCATTCACAGAACAGCCCTGCATATTGTTTATAAATAGTCCCCCATGTGTTTCTCCTTTCACAAAATAGCCAAATGCAGTCAATGTGCTGCAAGTGCCCCACAGATCAAATGCACATAAAAGGAACAACCAAACCAGAAGTACACAACAACTGCACTGAAATATACAATGTGTATGTGCTGCGCATTACCTCGCATCTACAACACAGAGGTAAATATCTTTTTTTTGGATTACATATTTATCACACATTTTGTGTTGCCTGTGGTCCTTTTTTTTAGTCTTATATTACACATAAACATAATATTTTTAATACATGCTTGCTGTGGGTGGTTGACGTCTTTGTTCGGCAATTTTCAGCATTACAGTACATCCCACACTCTTGGCTGTCTTTGTATCTTGTGGGCTGAGATATAATTGTGTCTTATATTTCACACTTTATATGTTGCCAAAATCTCAAAATATGTTTTTTCTGAAATGCTGATGTACTAAGTGTATTTTATATTCATAGTATCTTTTGAATTTATTCCTTCTAACTTTTTTTTAGTGATCTCAATAGTGCTGTATTGCTTGGTGCCTGTGGCAAGTGTGAGTGAGCAGGCTGGACAAATGTGCCTAATGCTGCTCCTAGGAACGGTTCATTGTCAGATTGTATCTACAAAGACCAATAAGGTATCCGGATCAGGCAGAGTCAAGAGACAGAGGTAACAACTTTTTTCTGTTGGTGACTGGTCAGTCATAACTAGTAGGACTTGATCATGTTTGCATATTACTGGAGGTAAGAGAGTGATATGACAGACTCAACTGTTGGGTTCGATACATATAGGGATTTCTTTCAGGATCTGGCATTTAGAAATAGGCAAGGAAGTTGTTGGCACTTTACTAAGAGAGTGGGAGGCCACGTGAACCCAGGAATAAAAATGTTATATATTGCAGCTTACCAGTCCTTAAAACTGGTGGCTGCTTTAGTTTTATTTTATTTCCTGGTGTCTTACATTAATGTTAACTTGGTGATTCTGCCACTAGTACACTTTCTGTCCTAGAGTGACAATGCTCACTCACCATACTGTATCCATGGAGGAGCAATATTTTTACACTAGGTCAGAAAGTGTTAAAACCACAGAATACCTCCCATTCTCAACTTCCCCATTACAAAGGAACATCTGTTTTGTAGTTTACAGAGAGCTGGGAACAATGTTGAATTAAAACAGCCAGAGAGCACAAGAAGTAATTAGCTACAGTACATATATGACAGAACACTTAACTGTACTTTTTAGGGCTGCAACTAATGAATTTTTTCATAATCGATTAGTGTTTATTGAAGTTTTTTACAAACAGACATATACACATACACAGAGCATAGCATCCAAGGCGGACAGCTAGCCCGAGATTTGCATGAGAATACATGTTACAGAGCGTGTCATGTGACATTGGTATATCCGGGTCAAGACCTTTTCTTAATTTTAATTTCCATGTTTCCCTATAACCAACTTCACTTACCAGTCTCATATACTGTTTGTAATTTCCATGTTCCAGTTCTTGTGAAAGTTTAGGGAGAGATAGGTGCTTTTGAGTGCTTTTATGTTTAGTGTCACTTTAAATTTGATCATTCAAACTCAAGAGTTAAATCTTAAAAATACATTCATGCACCTTAACTATTAACTAAAATGCATCTTATTTGTGTATCACTCAAACCATCTCTGAGATGGTGCTGACACTGTCCTTCCTTATGGAGGGTGGCTACTTTAGTTCCCCATGGTACCTGTGTGTGTTGTAAATAGCTTCTGCCCCAATCTCACTCCTGGAAAGCACTACAATCTCATGTTTAGTTTACTAATTTATTTTGAAATTGTAGTCCATCACGGCAGTGAGCTTGGAGTGGCGGCTACTTTACAACACACACAAGGACCATGGGGAACAAAAGTATTCACCCTTCAGAAGGAAGGACAGTGTCAGCATGAATTCAGAGATGATTTGAGGATCTACAGCTGAGTGATGAACAATTAAGCTACAGGTTTGTTAATAGTTAAGGTACTTGAATGCATTTGAAAGATTTAACTCCTGGAGTGTAGTGTCACTTTAAGGTACACATAAAAATTAGATCAGGAGCATGGGCATACCTACAGATCATGGGGCCCCATAGCAACATTTTGAGGGATTCCCCTGGTGACCTCCCTACTGTCACCAATCTTAAAATAAAGAATAAAATAATCAACTTTTGAGTCTGCCTCGACAGTAGCTCCCCAATTGGACCTCTCCCCCTCTAAATGTAAACATAGAAAAACAGAGAAATAGGGGTTTCTGAGAGGTATAAAACCAATACATGTGTAAAAATGATATCCAAATTTTTTTATACAGTAATTACATTATATAAAAGAATCAATTGTAATACATACGAGTATAAAAAACCCCCAATTGGCTAAAACACAAAGTTCCTAGGATATGCCCAACGTCAACCAGTTATATCTTAATTAAATATCCATAGTTGCAAACAAATAATTGTCATTAATTATTCATTGTTCATTTACTGATTTTCATTAGTTTTTCATTGTTCATTTACTGGAACAGACATATCCGGGTCCCGACGCGTTTCGCACCAATCTTCTTCAGGGGACCACGGGGGGGCTAATCTAACAATAACAACAATTATACATCAATTGATTTAATTGCATAATTCAATTCATTAATAAATTAATATAACATAAATTAGAATGTTTCAGCAATCGGCACCACAGGTATGAGGCCCCCCGAAAGGTGGGTACCCCGTACTTACCAAACAACTAGTGTCTGGAGGAGGGGTCACCTCTTGCGGAGATGGAGGTGCGGCCCTGCTGGGGACATACGGACTCATCACCCCTATTCGCTACCAGTGGGGAGATTGTAGGGAACGGCCCACCTGAGGGAGGACCCTCGGGTCCCTCATTGCTTTGCGGTAGCCGCTCGACCTGTCAGATATGTCTGATCGGCGTGCGACTGGCTAGGGATGGCACATATGCGCCTGTCGGGCGTTTGCGCTATATGAGTCCAGCACCGCTGATTGGCGTCATACACATCTGGGCGCCCTCTCGGCGGTGGGGGCTACATAAGGCAGGGGGGAAAGGATGCGGCTGTTGGATCATGAGTCATGCATCCATGAGACATTTCAACTTCCCTGTCTAAGGTAGTATTTATTTTTGGTCAGTTATATTAGGTTGGTGTCCTCCCTGGCTCTTGCTAGCAGTAGGGGGCGGTAGAGAATAGAGCACAGAGTGGGGGAGTGAGATGGGATAGGGGCTAACCCTTGTTTGATTAATTTTATTCACATGCAATGGGTGTGTCATTAGGTGGTAATGGACATATATATAGACCTTTCACTGATAGGCATGGAGGTATTAGCAAGGATTAGGACCTGGGATCACTACGCTACACATAACTATTTCACTTATATGAATTCGTTCACCAAGACAATGCCCCACAAATATGGGAACCAGTTTCCCTTAGGGTGAGTATACACAGATAAATAATGTGAGGGTTATTTATTTATATATATATATACATATATA